AAGTCATTTTCAAGGTCCACCACTTCTTACTTCTTTTCAGTTGGGTCAAGTTTCTAAGCTTTCTAAATCTCTGTTTTCCGGCTAACAAAAATAAAATAGGATTCCACCAAGTCTCCTATCTACCTACTCCAGGACTTCTGTGAGAATCAAATGAGATGAAGCACGGGAAAACGCTTCACAGGCATTTGGTTACAGTGTAAAGTGTTTGCACCTGGCTATAAAGCAAGCCATGTTCCTGGGCTGCAGAAATTGCAAGGAGGCTAGTCGCTAAGGAGAGGAAGCCAGGCATTGCTACGTGACGTCATTACCTGGAGGGACACTTAGCATATTAGCCTTCTATATATATAGATGGCCTGTCACTAGGGAAAGGAAGCTGGGCGATACTACGTGACATCATTACCTGGCACCCACAGCCACCGTTTCTGGGCTGGGCTGTGGGTGCAGTTTGTGCCACGGGGTCTCGGCAGTGTCGGCTGCGATTTGGTGGGCTGTTGCTCCAGGGTGGTGGCAGAGCCTGTGTCCCACTTGGGGGAAGCCGAGTGTTGCTTTGTCAGCGCCAGGTCCGCGGTGCCATTTCTTTGTGTGTATCACGGCAGCTCCTGCATTGAGCATCTGCCCCCTGGTGGTCAGTGCATATCATAGCGACCGGTCGGAAGGTGGGAAGGATACTTATCATGTTAGCCTTTTATATAGATAGATAGTACTAGAAGTCCTAACATAGCAATCAGACAAGGAAAAATAAAAGGCATACGAATTGCAAAGGAGAAAGTAAAACTGTCATTATTCGCAGATGATATACTATACATAGAGAACCCTCAAGACTCCACCAAAAAACTGCTAGATTTAACAAATGTAGCAGGATATAGCACCCAGAAATTGATGGCCTTTTTATACACCAATAATGAACGCTCAGAAAGAGAAACTAAAAAACAATCTCATTGCCCTGGCTGGTGTGCTCAGTGGTTAGAGCGTTGAATGGTTGGTAATAGGGACGTATCTGTTAGGATGTTTTCATATACACGTGAGATAAAATCCAAAGCCAGCTGGATTAAATAAGGAATTGGGGGAAGATTTGATCTAGCAGCCCAATTTCCTCTGCACTACTCTTCCTGTGTTGGCTTCTTATTCAATCGACTTTTCTTTTATAGTCAAAAGATAGCTTCCAGGAATTTAGTAACTGTACATTTTCAGGCTGAAATTCAGAGTAAGAAAATACGTGCCTTTATCCCAGCATTTCTACCAAAAGTCCAAAAATCTCATTCTGATTGATCTGTCTGAGATCACATACTTGCCATAATGGCCTTAGGTTAAGACACATGTTCCATTCCTATAATCTCTTCATAACATTCATTAAAGAAAACACATTAAAGCTGATCTTAGTGATTTAAACCTTTGTTATTACTAAATAACGGCATTACCAAATTAAAATTGATGGGTCAAGCCCATCATACAACTTTCTCCATCTTCTTAAAGTTATTCCCCCAGACTTTAAGCATAACTCATCAAGACAAAAAAAAAAAGTAAATCCTTCCCTGAATGTGAATCACTTTTTGAAGGATTCAGAAAGTGCTACCAGCTTACAGTGCAGTTTTATAATTCTTAACAGAACTGAAAGCAACACCCACCATAGATTTTTTAGGAAGAAAAAGGCTCTTATACCACTTTTCCAAGATTATAGTAACAGAATTTAAAGAAAACAGAAGAGAATATAGATGTCTTCAGTTAGGCAAAATAAATAAATGTATGTTTTGTTTCATAGAGCTTTGAAATACAAGCAACTAAATAATCCATCCTGTACCTCAAGACTCCTCTCACCATATACTAGATCATCACCAAATCTGCCCTGTCCCCAAGTCTCCCACTTCCTCTCACCCTGCCTACACACACACACTCCCAATTAGGTCCTAAGAACAAAGCAGAGATGCACACTTTAGGGAGTTTTTTGCAAATGCACATTCCAAAGCCAAACAAACAAATTAATCCTGATCATACTTCTTATAAGCCATGTCCTTCATTCCTATAATTAGCACAGAAAATAGAAGGCAAATTATTGTTTTTACAACAGAAAAAAATGAAAAAATTTATTAGACTGAAAGCCAATACTCAAATATAGAGGACAGAAGCTGATTTTCATGGTAAAATTGAACAAACACAAAAGCAACATTTTTAGAGTAATCACTTGAAAATGTGTTACACACCAGTCATCTTAAATCAAAAGCCAAACTTCACTCATAATCCTAGAAGGAAGCAGTGTGGTTAAAGATAAGACTGTGATTTAGGAGAAAATCTCTATAATACTTCAATTCTGTGGATTGGTTTTTCAAATACTATTCAAATAATTCAATTCAGTAAATATGCACTGGTGGCTTTATTAAAAAGAATGTACCAGTGTCAGACACAGTAAGGATACAAACATAGCCCTTGACTTCACAAAGTGTATAATGTGCTACAAAGGCAATATACACAAGCATAAACTACCAGAAAGTACAGGACATAATCAAGTAGAAATGCATGAGGCACAAAAAGACTGTAGGTAATCAAAACGGGAAGAAATCAAATAAATCAGGATTTCCACAGCAAGTAACAGACATCGAAGGGCAAAATTACTTAAACAATAAGGAAATTTGTTGTCTCACATAACAAGGAACACACAATTAGGGAGGTTCTATTAAATGGGTTTCAGTTCTAGTCTATGCAATTGTCTTGCCTCTGTCCTCCTTTACAGAAGGGCATCACCTTCAGGCTAGTAGCCAAGATGAATACAGCAGTTACAGATGTTACAACCAGATAAAACAAGCTGTAGGGAGAAGAGGGACCATCTCTTTCTCTCACTTCCTTCTCAAAAGTAAAAAAAAAAAAAAAAATCCTTCCCAGAAGTCTCTTGCAGACTTCCCTTTTATTTTAGATTGGCCAAAATTTGGTCTCATGCCCATTACTAAAACAATCACTTCCAAAGGCAATGAGACCTACCATAACCAAGATCAGAATGGATGCTGGTAACTATCATGACCATCACTTCATTTTCTGTTGTTGATGTTGTCTACAGTGCGCAAAGGCAGTAATAAGGGTAAGTCCTCCAAGCATAAAGAGTTTGTTCAGAGTATTTTGCTGCAGAACACAGTTGCTGGCCTACTGCATCTGTTATGTGAACCATTCTTTCTAGATTTTGTAGAAATCTTCCTCTGTATTCTGAGGTAATACAGCAGAGGCAGCTACAGAAGGAGAAGGCCTAGTTTCATCTGTTACCACACTTGGGTAGAAGGCACACTTCGGTGGGGTTCCTTGTATATATGCATTGATCTTAAGTACATACAAGAAACATCTCTCTGAATTTTGTCAACCTTGGTCCCTAGTAGTGTCATCTTGGCATCAAGAAGCTTCAACTGATTGCCCATATTTGCATGTAGATCATTCATCTTCCTCCCCAATCGCTCTACTATCGAGATAGATTTGTTGTGGATGGCACGTTCCCCATCACTTGATGGGCTGTCAGGTGGTTCATTATTTCTTTTCCTCATTGTTCATGCAACACGTAGAATCATTTCTTCTGTGGTAACTTCTTTAACTATTGGTTCTCAAGTCTAAGGACGGAGTCTGGTCATCAGTCTAGGATTCTTCCTCCGTGATCAATACAAGATGTGCATGGTACGATAGACCTGTTGGTGGGTTAGCAGGTGACAGGGATAGTTGTTGGGGACATGGGGACCATTACGTGGGACTGTTTTTTGTTTTTTTATGGGCTCAGCCATTCTGCATCTTTAAAGATGATTCGGGGTTTTTTTTAGTCATCTGCTATTTGCCAAGTTGGTGACCTGCTGCATGGTCTTTTGTGTGCCTTCAATGATGCAGCTACTATATTCAGTGTAATGCCACATCAGTTAAGAATTGAGGAAATTCAGAGTTGAGAAATGAGGAATTAAAAGTAGTTCCAATAAATAAAGCAGAAGTTTCTAAGATAGAACTGTTGGTGGATTGATTGACACCAATTTTTTTTAAAGAGGATGCAAAGGAATATTTATGGGAAACATTGTTTCAATCCTCAGATTGATCAAGCAAGGTAAAGGGAAAATGTAGTGCTATAAGTCATCTACAAACCATGCAGTAAAAAGACAGCAGGGTTGCCCTGGCTGGTTTGGTACATTGGTTAGAGCAGTGGTTCTCAACCTTCTGGCCCTTTAAATACAATTCCTCATGTTGTGACCCAACCATAAAATTATTTTCGTTGCTACTTCATAACTATAATGTTGCTACTGTTATGAACCGTAATGTAAATATCTGATATGCAGGATGGTCTTAGGCGACCCCTGTGAAAGAGTTATTCAGCCGTCAAAGGGGTCTCGACTCACAGGTCGAGAACTGCTGGGTTAGAGCATCGGTCCGTGGACCGAGGAGGCATGGGTTCGATTCCTGGTCAAGGGCACGTGGCTTGGTTGCAGGTTCCATCCCCAGCCCCAGTCAGGGCTGGTGCAGAAGGCAACCAATCCATGTGTCTCTCTCATGTCGATGTTTCTTTCTCTCTCTCTCTCCTGCCTCCCTCCCTCCCACTCTCTCTAAAGATCAATGGAAAAAAATACCCTCGAGTGAGGATTAAATATATATATATATATATATATATATATATATATATGTATGTATATATGGCAGGGGCTTGGCCTATTTAACCCATTTCACTAAACAGAGAAGCCTTAAATGGGACCAACACCCAACATATTATTTCAAGGAGGACAGGCCTTTGGAAGATGCATCATTTGGACTGGTAGAAGAAATAAAAAAGAAAAACACAGAGGCAAAGGAAGAGATGAACCTAATTGAAGAAGCAAGTGAAACTGCAATCATAAACACGCTGTTAGAAGCAAAGAATTCTCTTAAACTGGACTGTTGTCATTCTCATACAAAAGTTAACTTACTATTTAACAGTCAGTAAATGGTAAGAATGTAGGATGAGGAATTCTCTTTTTAAGGAGAGGATTTAGGTTATCAGCAGGAATATTCAGACTCACCACTCCTTGTCAACAGTCATCCACTTAGCTCTCTCTGGGTCGAAAACATTCCATATTATGTATAGAGATGACTGCAGACTCACTGTCAGTAGTTGCTCCTTGAAGGTTTCTTCTCACTTGGGTTGAGGTTTCACTCAAATATGCACACACTCACAACAGGACCTTATCTGCAAATGAAAGCGAACAATTAGGAGGCAAAATGTTGCAGGGATGCCCAGCCAGCGTGGCTCAGTGGTTGAGTGTGGACCTATGAACCAGGAGGTCCTGGTTAGATACCCGGTCAGGGCACATGCTGGTCAGGGCTCATGCCGGGTGCAGAAGGCAGCCAATTGGTGGGTCTCTTCTCACCATTGATGTTTCTATCTCTCTCCTCCTCTCCCTCTCTGAAATTAATAAAAATATATATTTTAAAAAAAATGTTGCAGAGAGCAATTCTCCCCTCCCCTACCTATGAATAACTGATTCATATGAAAATTGAAGTTAAACACCAGATTCACTAAGCAACATGTTCAAACTAAGCAACCTTTATTTCAAAGGTTGTAATGTACTTATTACAGTTACCACCCTTTTCCATCATATAAACTGATCATAATATTCAGAGTATACCAGGTGCTTTTTTTAAAATATATTTTTATTGATTTTAGAGAGGAAGAGAGAGAAACATTGATGTGAGAGAAAAACAGTGATTGGTTGCCTCCCACACTCACCCCAACTGGGGATCAAACCCGCAAATTGGACGTGTGTTTTGACCTGGAATTGCACCAGCAACTTTTTGGTGCACTGGACAATGCTCAACCAACTGAGCCACATCAACCAGGGCCAGGTACAGCTCTTTCCAAAGGTTCCCCACTGGACAGAACCCAACACACATTTGTTTAGTGGACCCACAAGGCTGGCCTACACAGTGTGAAAAAAGATAGCTGCCTACATTTGTGTATCAAAAGACAACATAAAAATCATGATTTCTGAAGTCTCTTGAAAACAAAAAAAAAACCAGCAGTCCGGACAATATGAGGCCCACATTTGCACATGGTAACAATCTGTTGATGATTAACAGCTAATCCTTCAGATAGGACATGGGTTTGCAGAGCTCCACAGGTGTCATCTCTCTCACATACCCAGCTCAGTTATCTATCTGGCCCTGTTGAACTTGCAAACACTGATACTTATTTATAATAACTCACAGGCGATATTTATTACTATCAAAGCCAAGCATGTTTTCTGCCTTGAGGATACAACCTAGAACAGCAGTTCTCAACCTGTGGGTCGCGACCCCTTTGGGGGTCGAACCACCCTTTCACAGGGGTCGCCTAAGACCATCGGAAAACACATATATAATTACATATTGTTTTTGTGATTAATCACTATGCTTTAATTATGTTCAATTTGTAACAATGAAATTGGGGGTCACCACAATATGAGGAACTGTATTAAAGGGTCGCGGCATTAGGAAGGTTGAGAACCACTGACCTAGAACAAGGATAACCACATTGGCTTTGGTCTCAGAGGACCCTAGGTTTGAGCTCTATTTCTACATACAATTAGCTGTGTGACCTCAAGCTAGTTTTTAATCTCTCGAAAATATATTTCTTCATTTACAAGCCTCCAAATAAACATATAACCACTTAACACAATCAACAAACAGGCCTAAAATCTAGTATGTCCAAGCTGAATTGATAATCCCAACTATTTAAATAATGGTAGTTTGAAATTTCAAGGTTCCATATTATGAGGAATATTAGTATTTCATTAAAAGAAAAATGAAGACAAAATGGTGGGGATGCTTCACATCACTCCTGGCAAGGCTGTTGCCTTCTTGATCAATAAACCTCACTCCAAATTCAGATGTTTCAAAAGTCAGGCACAAAAACTTTGGACTGGTAATAGAAACCCAAACAAACTCACTAATAAGAGCAATGAAAACATGTCCACACAAAGAAAATTGGCTAGAGGAGGCAGTACATGATAGCAATTAGGAAAGGAGGCTCAGGAGCCAAGCTGTCAAAGTTTAAATTCTGGTTCTGCCACTTACTAGATGTGTTGACTGTAGTCATTACTCACAATGCCTCACTTTCCTAAACTGTAAAATGGAAATAATTTATAGAGCTATTGTAAGGTTTTAAATAGGTTAATACATGTAAAAGGCCTACAACATGGTCTGGCACAAAACAAGCCTGTAGAAGTATGGCTATGGCACCTTGGATGGTGTGGTTCAGTGGTTGGAGCATCAGCCGCTCACCAAGGAGTCTTAGGTTCCATTACCGTTCAAGGGTACATACATGTGTTGCAGGTTTGGTCCCTGCCCCAGTGGGGGCATATGCAGGAGGGTCAATCAATCTATGTGCCCATCTCACATCAATGTTTCTCTCTCTCCCTACCCACCGTCCACTCTCTCTAAAAATTAATGGGGGAAAAATATCCTCAGGTGAGGATTAACAAAACAAATAAAAGTAGTATGGCTATCTAAAGGGGAATTGGGTTTAACATATGATGCAACATTATAATAATTTTCTTAATAATATTCAGAGAACATTTTTAAATACATACACACACCCACAGCAACCGCAGTACAATGTAGTGTTTAATAGTTGGATTTTGTTTATAGTCAATTTTAGGCTATTTCATTCTTTCTGATTCTGAGTGCCATGGAGAATTGCAGGCAAGACATTTTACCTTCCTGAGATTTGGATTCTTTCAACAAAGATAAATGAAGACAATGCTACTTATCTCACAGGATTGTTGTGAGAATGTAGTAAGATGTATGAAGTGTTTACTTAGTACAATGCTGGGCACATGGTAACTAAAAACTAATACTATATTATTACACTACTAGTGAAACAAGTACATTATAACTAGAGTGACCATTGGTCCTTATTTGCTTGTGATAGTCCCAGTTTATGCAGGTTTTCACAATGTAATTACTAATCACAGCCATTTCCCTTTCTATGTCAATATGTCCCAGTTTAGATGATAAATTATATGGTCACCCTAATTTATAACTGAAATACTTTTAAGATTTTCCCTTTAGTTAGCTCTTCATCCTCTTAAATGGTCTCTTATTCCCATTTTAGTGACTTATCTCTTTGCTCTCCCAACTCACCATCACCATTTTACACACACACACACACACACACACACACACACACACACAACTCTCCTTATCTAAGTGCTTAGTGACCTGGATGCTTCAATTTCAAGTTCCTCTGTGGTCCCATACTCCTCAGCAATGTCAGGTTTCCCAAACATATTCTTTCTCAAATTCCTATCTGTGCCTCTAATCCAGTGATGGCGAACCTATGACACGCGTGTCAGAGGTGACACGCGAACTCATTTTTTTGGTTGATTTTTCTGGCATTTAAATATATAAAATAAATATCAAAAATATAAGTCTTTGTTTTACTATGGTTGCAAATATCAAAAAATTTCTATACGTGACACGGCACCAGAGTTAAGTTAGGGTTTTTCAAAATGCTGACACGCCGAGCTCAAAAGGTTCGCTATCACTGCTCTAATCTATATTCCAGAATAAAACCTAGTGACCTAAAAATACCAGCACCAGCACCAACAATAGATTAAAAATTTAGTTCTCTTTAGGGATATCTATATTTTAACAGGTAACCCCTAGAAAGACAATGCCTTAACTCAAAGTAGAGAGTCCCTAATAACATGATTGTCAAACACAGCTGATTAGGAAAGATCACTCCTCAAATCAAACAATTTAGGTTAGTTTCTACTAAACGAATATATCAGAACAGCCTTGACTCCTTCCTTTTTACTGGTTCCCAATAATCTAGTCAAAACAAAACACAGATTTTTATCTCTTTAGCTTGCTGAACCCCTAGTACCTAAGTGCCTGACACATAGCTAATGCTCAGTACTTATTGAATGGAATGTTTTTATTTAATCCTACAAAAGAAAACATGTGGATGACTAAAAGATACAACATATCTTCCCTTCGAGGCAAAATAAATCACAGTTCCCAAACTGACCAGTAATCTGTCCTCTTTGTCTTGTATTAATGTTCTATATTGTATCAAATAAGACTGTTGCATTTTGTTATTTTTAAAATATATTTTTATTAATTTCAGAGAGGAGCCCTGAGCAGGAATCGAACTGTGACCTCCTGGCTCATATGTCGATGCTCAATCACTGAGCCACTTCGGCCAGGCAAGGTTGTTCCATTTTAGTTTGATTCAGATTTGATATAGTCTGTGATATACCCAGTAGTGGCTAATTTAATCCAGCCTATATGAAAAAGATAATGTTTCATGGTCTTTGGAATATTAACCCAAATAGTGGGTACTTAATTGAGTCTCTGAACCCTTGTATGTAGTGGCTTCTTGAACTGACAATATCATTAACATGCAATTTCTTCTACCAGCTGTGCATTTTCATTCAACACAAGAGTGATTCAGCGTGGTATTATTTCTGGTTAAAAAAAAAATCATGGAAAAAATATCCTCAAATGAGGATTAAAAAAACACACCACAACACCAGGGCACCAAATTGATAACTAGGAGAGATGAGGAACTCTCCTGGGAGCAAAGCAAGAAATACTAAATAAACTCCTGGCAAGACTCCTTGCATAATCAGTCAATCAATCTATCTTAGATTTAAAATTTGTAAGTGAAATTGTGCAGTGGGTTGTACAGTACAGGTGTTGCCATGTTTATTAGAATTAAATTAGTCAGACCATTTCTGACAAGAAAACATACCCAATTAGGCTAGTGTGACAATGAGGACTAAAATGTTTTATAGCAATATTTTCCATTAAGGTGAATAAGCAGAACACACAGGGTCAAGAGTTTTGGCAATATATTCTTTAAAAGTATACACAACAGCCCTAGCCGGCTTGGCTCAGTGGACAGAGCATCAGCCTACGGACTGATGGGTCCCAGGTTTGATTCCGGCCAAGGGCACATACCTGCGTTACGGGCTCAATCCCCAGTAGAGGGTGTGCAGGAGGCAGCCAATCAATAATTCTCTCTCATCATTGATGTTTCTATCTCTCTCTCTCCTTCTCCCTTCCACTCTGAAATCAATAAAGAAATATATATATTTTTAAAAATGTATACACAACATATAATACTCCAGAAATTACATTTTATGCAACTTTTTAAAACTAAGATGAAAAATGTTAGGTGTCAGTTCTAAAATACCTAAGGAAGTACAAAGTTCCTCAAAAATATTTTAGATGCACAAAAATGTTTAAAGATTACATTAACTT